ACACAGGCTGACCTGACTGCCCTGAGAAGACTGACACAGTGACCACAGCCTGGACATAGAAACTGGACAACACAGGCAGACGTGGCTGCAGAGACAGGACAGGATTAGTGACCACAGCCTGTCCCAGCTGGAGAAACAGAGAGTGGTTCTGTCACAGTTCTCAATGTTCTGTTAATTGATATTGATCAGGCAAAACTGAATGTGAATTTGAGAGGAGGGAGGGAGAGAGAGGGGCAGGAGGGAAGAGGCAATGAGACAGAGCAAAGAGAGTAGCAGGAGGCTGGAGATAAAAGGTATGTGTCTTAGGCTTCGCCGTAAGGACATGAATGATTACAGGCTGCTAAGATACACACACAGTTTACGTCTAACGGCCAGCATGTGAAGATGACACACAACCCTTCGATTGGCTTTCTGTAGCTTAGCTGAAGAAGCATGTGTCTGATGTCATCGGCGATCTGTACACAAGCCTGCTCTCTCTGTAGGTGGCTAAACAGTAAGTGGCTTATTTTGCCAATAGAGAAACTGTATCAGTGCTGTGCAGTACAGATATGCCACACTCCAAATAAAACCCCATGCTGAACAGTTCAGGACGTCAGAAGAGCATGAGGTGCTCTGTTCCCTATGGGGGAAAGGAGCAGCACACAGTACATCCACAGTAGTGGAAACTATGTGGCAGTGCATTTAAATTAGAGGACAGGAGGCACTCCTTTACACAGAGGGTTGCGGGAGTGTGAAACAAGCTACCTCACTGTGTTATTGAAGCCAGTGTGCTGGCTCCTTTCTGGGAACGGCTGGATGAGATCCTTGAGACCCATTAACTACTAACTATTAATTAGAAACTAATGACTGCTAACTACCCAACAGGCTCGACAGACCGAGTGGCTCCTGTCACCCATGGCCTCTCTTGTTTCCAATCCCCATGTTATCTTGCAGATATCCAACTAAACGTTAAGCCATTTTATCTATGATCAATTAGTAGGGTCCTAAAAGTGCTACGCATGCCTAAAGTTATGTAGTCACAGTGTAATCGTGTATGATATCATACAGAATTATTATTTCACTAGTTCCATGTGTACAGCGCGTTTCGTCGCAAAGGACCCCAAAGTGTTTCACAGACAGGAGGGGACCCCCGTCTCCCCCCGCCGAGCTGCAGCCACCTGGCTGACGCACAGCCGCCATTCTGCCCTGTAATCCTGTTAGAGTGAGCTGGGGCCCCTCGGCTGTTTCAGACACCTGGGAAGACTGGCTGGGAGGGAGGGGGAGGCAACATCAGCAGCAGGAGGACACCCACACGCTGAGAAATAAGGAACGTCGCAGTGCAGCAGAGCCGCGCTCCTGACAGAGACGCCGGTCCGCCCCCCACACGGCTCGATTGCAAAACCACCCGCCATTTCACGTCACCCAGCAGCCCTGCGCAGAGCCACCGGCCCTCGCGAACGAGTACACACCCAGAGCGACAACACCCAGCCCTGGCCGGAAATTCACTCCGAACGCAGAAACAAACCCCAGAGCGCCCAGCGTCTGATGTTGACAGCCATACAAGTCCAGGCAGCCAGCAAGACCCGGGCTGGCTCACTCTGCCCCCCCTCCGAAGTCATGTTTGGCCGAGGTACAGGCTGGGCTGCTACAGTCAGACACAGTCACTCCTCAGTGCGCTACTGACACGCTACCAGTGAGCCAGCTTCACATCGGCCTGTGTTGGCACACTCCAGGGGTGTCTCAGAGGGAAGTGCCCCTTCTCACACGTCCTGGGGTGAAGGGGAGGCAGGTAAAGTCTGGGCAGGAAGAGCCCGCGGAGCCTGGCTCTCGAGGGTCAAGGGCACACCTTCCCGCGCGGCCTGACTTTCCTCGGCTCCTGCCTGCCGGAAGCACTGCGGCATTAAAACGTGACATCGGAACGTCCCTGCATGTCCCCGCTACTGTCCGCGCAACCGAGCCGGAGGTCGTCTGCCCTGCTTGTGCGCCCCGTCAGGGGGGGAGGCTGTCTGAGGGGCTCCTGCTCCCCCAATTCCTCCCTCCAAAAAGCCCCCCGAGTTCTCGGTCTCACTGGAAGCGTGGGGCAGAGACAAGAGAGGCTGATCGAGCTTTCTTTCATATTCAATTCTTCTGAAAGCTCAGGACCCCGGGAGGTTACATGGTTCACATGAGCTGAAGCTCAGGGCGACGCTAAAGACTTGTAGCCGTTCTTGTGCCTGGGGAATGGCAGCCCTGAGGGCCTTCACTTGTCCAGGTGACTACATGCCTCGGACTCTGTAACCCGAGACAACATGACTCCATGAATTCCCTTAAGGAAATACGTCTGCAATTAAGTCACATACACGTGTAAAAATACAAAGATGAAGAACAACAAACAGGTAAGGGCTGAACGCAATTGAAAGTGTCCTGAGGATTTTCTCAGGGGTAGGAAGGAGTTTCAGCTGCTCTTCCCACACGGGGCTGTAAACTGAAAGGCAGTTGAGTTCATTGAGGCCAATGAGTCAAAGTAGCAGTGAGTGGCGCGGAGGGGCTGGCAGACAGTGCCGGGAGCCGGAGCGCAGTGGAGGGAGAGAGGTGTTTGTCTAAGAGGTGTGTCTGCGCTCGGGAGGGAGGGGGGCAGGGCTTCAGTTAGGCGGCTCACAGCCCCTGGAACAGAGATAATAGCTGTGGAGCACACCACAGAGCACAAACAGGAGCAGGCACAAACCCGCACAGTGGTGTGCAGTATCTCTCCGTCTTTGTGCATCATCCTGTAGGAGAGTGAAGTTCAGGGGTTGTGGGTAGCACGGGGGATGTGTCATGGACGAGTTCGGGTTGCTGGGTTTGGTGGGACCAGAGTTTGCTCAGTGTCAGCTGACCCCCCCCGACCAGCAGTGACGTTTCTGCGCTGGAGGACAAAGCCAGAGTGAACGGGGGTCCTGTCTCGAGGCGCAGGAGCTGTTCTCCGGGGGTCTCTGGGGTTCCCAGCAGTTCCTGGCGCTGACCACTGCAGGTCCTCTCTGCGACATTAAACTGCTGGTGCTTCTTCTGCAGTGTCTAAAGCTACAATGCAGTGATTGATTAAACTAACATTTGAGTAACAACACATTTCTGGTTGATTTCAAAATTTTGTTGTTGTGTTTTCACCACTTATGTAACTATGAAATACAACCACTCATATTGGGCCAAAGCAATAGAACCGAGTACAGTTTATATGTAATTTCTGTAATTACTGTAGTACTATGTGTGGCTGTAGCTTTATTCTGGTATTGTATTACATGGGACGTACTGTGTCAGTCTGCCCTTGATTTTCCTGGCTTGGCCATGGCCATGTTTCTGGATTAGTTTAAAAAAGGGGCTCTGAGGATAGTTAAAAACGTTTAGAAAGTGTAACACAAGTGCCAAATGGATTTCTAGGAAGATGTGGGAAGGAAAGTCAATCAGGCGCTCAGATGGCGGGTGCTGTATTTAGTTTAAGTCAAAGAACCTGATAAAAGTTTCAAGAAGTCTGTTCAAGAGCTTCAAGGGCAACAGCCACCAAGGACATCAAGAAGACTTCAAGAAAGACGCCCGGCCCTTTTTAAAACCAAGTACTGGAGGCACAACTTTACACAAAGTGCTGCAGGAGTATGGAACAAGCTAAGTTGCCAATACTCTCAGAAAACAGCTCAGATCAATGAGGCCCTCAGATCAATTAGCTGCTAAAGACCACTCAGGCCAGATGGGCTGTTAACTGCTGCATTCTTTGGTTCTCACGTTCTGCAACTGGTTTTCTGGGGTCTGGTTTCAAGAGGTTGATGGAGGAAGGCAGTGCTGTCCCCCAGCATGCAGAACTCAAGCAGTCTCAAAGTGAAGCAGGCCAGGACACCCTGGGCACTGTGCCCTGGGTTAAGACCAGCACTGCGGGGCTCCCTCGGCGCTGGCCTGTCTGATCTGATGGGAGTGGGGGGCTCTGTGCGCCTCTGGGGAACCAGACCGCTGACTCGCAGGGCAGGGACTGGGCTGGGGGCCCATCCTGGCAGAGGAGATAAGAGGCCTCAGGCTGCTGCCCGACTGGAGGGGTTTCTCTTTACCTCGTGGTTGTGTCATGAGCATCGTTAGTTCTCTGCCAAATGGCCACCGTGTGACAGAGCTGCTGTCTCTAACAAGCCTGTCCTGCTAAATTCACTCAGGCAGAAAGCCCCGCAGCTGGAGCAGTTTTTGTGCTGTGCGGATCTCCCACAAACACTTTGCTGCTATGTCTGATATAAGATGAATAAGATCAATTAAGGAACTTAAAAATTCTAAGATCAATCAAGGAACAATGCCATCTAGGACAGGGATCTCCAAACCTGCTCCAGGAGAGCCCCTAGCCGATTAATTTTGTAGGTCACCCTAAATCAGAGGGTTACCAGCCCTGGTCCTGGTGCTGGTCCAATCCAATTAGTCTTACAGGTCACCTGTGTTCAAAGTTCAATAAGCTACTGCTGAGTCAAGCGAGTAATCTGCTCAATTCAGAGAGTTTTGCCGCTGAAGGGCTGAAGGGAATTGAGATTTTAGTCTTAAATGATCTCTAAATGACTTAATTTAACAACTTGCCTATTTAACTGGTCACAATGGAATCGTTCCAGATCTTTACAACTAGGGGATTGAATGGTGATCCCCAAAACCTTCTGGGCAGGGGCTCCCCAGGACCAGGGCTGGAAACCCTTGATCTAGGATATAGCGACTGGACCTCAGTGACACACGACAAGGACTGTAAATAGCTAAAAAGCAGTGGCTTTGGTTATGTCTGATAATGGCCTCTGAGCATTTAAAAATAACCTTTGTGAGAAGCCAATCTTGGGCAGACTGCTGGAAATCCGAAGATGAAGAGACATCTTCGGTATGTGAATTTGCACCAGCTGAGGGTTCGGTGTTTCACCAGGGATGTCTAAGACAGTGAGTGTGAGAGTCAGGACACAGTGGGCAGGCAAAGAGTTAAGGACATGAGCGTCTTCCTTTCTCTCCACCCTCCCTCTGTCTCCTCCCTTGCTAAGCTCCCTCCCTCCCTCTCTCTCCCAGTCTGCTCAAACTCTGCACTGAAAGCGGTTTAAGTAAAACTCATTGACTGGCTGTATGTCAACACAGAAGCAGAGGCTGGAGGATTTAACAGGGGAGTTTTTGAAAAAGAGGAGAAAAGTTTCGGAAGGGGGAATCCGGAAGATTGGAAAAACAGGGACAACTTGCCTTCGATGAGGTGAGTGTGATGGGGGAGAGAGGGCTTTTTAGAAGGGATCCACAGTGAGGAGCCACAGCTCTCAGAGCCAGAGTGGAAGAGGGAGCAGTCAATAGCAAGGCAGTCTTGCATCATGCTGGCAGCATGCAGGGCGAGCCCTGGAAGGACGAGCAGCTGTGTTCTTCCACAGCCCCTCTGCCTGCTGCTTGGACCCCTGTCTCTGAGAGCGGGAGAGTGGCCAGAGATGAGCCAGACCCTCACAGAAAGGCCTGAAGGCTGTGGGCTCTCTGGAGGCTGAAGGATTCATGTGACTCTCCTGCACATCCAGCCCCCCAGGGGCACAGGACCTCCTGAGTTTCATTCCACCTAATTAGTTAACTGAATTCGTTATTCGATTAACTGAACCAAATAAACACTTTCCTCAGGTCTAAAGCAAATTGAAAGAGACCTATTATACCTGCTGGCTTGCTCTTGAGGGCCAAAATTTATTAACTACTTTTAGAAATTCTTGGTTTATCTTTTTGGAGGAAAATAAAACTGATTTTCATTTTATGCATATAGTGGGAACAGGTCCCCTGTGGTGGGGTTCAGACTCAGCTTATGGGGCTCAGAGACTCAGCTGGTGGGGTTCAG